CTTATTTTATCTGTACCAATAAGCACATGTGAGATTGAAATCAAAGTTTCACCATTACCTAGAGGTATTGAAAACCTAGAGATCACCGGATTCCACTGAACAAATGAATCTTGGGGGCTGGAGAAATGACCTGGCAGTAAACAGTGCTTCCTGCTCTTCTACAGGACCCAAGCTCAGTTGCCGACTGCCAACATCCATGCGCAGCAGCTCCCAGCCGCCGCTAACTCCAACCCTAAGGGCCCCAGAGCCCTCTTCAGCCCTCCATGGGCGCCAGCACACACACAGCACTCATTCCCACATGCATACAAATGAAAAATAATTATTACCAGAGGAAAACTAAACTAGAAATTGTATCTTAAATAATCGTGATGCCTGGCTAGATTTAGGAACTCTTTCTAGGTAAGAACTGAGTCGTCTCACTTCTATTCCACAGAATATTAACTAACCACGCCCAGGCCACAGCCAATGATAAAACAAAATCTGTGAAATGAAGGAATTCTAGGACCGCACAGGGGGACTGGATGTATATATTCAGTACTTAAACTTACTACTACAGCACAAAGAAAAACTGCTTCCGACAACAGAATCCAAACACAGGCACTTCTCAAATGGAATTTTTTAAAAAATCCATAATGCTCCCTACTGCCCTGATCATGGAAAGCCAAATCAAAACAATGGTCACAGGGTTGGAGAAAAGGTTTAATGGTTAAGAGTACACACTATTCTTACTACTCTTATAGAGGACCCCAGTTCGACTCCCAGCACCCACATCAGGTAGCTCACAAACTCCTGGAACTCTAGGTTTAGGGAGCCAACACTTCTCTGATCTCCTTGGGCACATACATAAACACACAGGATGTCAGTGTGGCAATTTCTCAGAAAATTAGGAAACAACCTTCCTTAAGACTCAGTAATCCCACTTTGGGGTATATATCCAAAGAAGGCTCAATCGTCCCACAAGGACGTGCTCAACTATGTTCATAGCAACTTTGTTTGTCATAGCCAGAACCTGGAAACAACCTAAATGTTCCTCTACTGAAGAGTGGATAAGGAAAATGTGGTACACTTACACAATGAAGTACTACACAGCAGAAAAAATGACAGCTTGAATTTTGCAGGAAAATGGATGGAGGTAGAAACATTATTTTGAGTGAGGTAACCCAGACACGGAAAGACAATTATCACATGTACTCACTCATAGGTGGTTTTTTAACATAAAGCAAAGAAAACCAGCCTACAAATCACAATCTCAGAGAACTGAGACAACAATGAGAAACTCTGAGAGAGACTTACATAGATCTAATCTACATGGAAAGTAGAAAAAGACAAGATCTCCTGAGTAAATTGGGAGAGGGTTGAAGGGGGGAGGGGAGAAGCAGGGAAGGGAGCAGAGAAAAATGTAAAGCTCCAATAAAAATCAATAAAAAAAATGGGCTTTTATAACTCCAAAACAATAAAATAAAAAGGAAACAATGATCACAGTTTAAACATTACCCATAACAAGCTACACACATTGTACTTCCTTATACTATAGTACAACACCGATACTATCAAGCCTAGAACCTTCCAAACCGGCAATTCCCAAAGCCAGACCAGTCCCTACCATTTATTCTGTCCCCTCTATGCAGAGACTTGTAGTAGCAAACCTCTCAGCAGAGCCTTTGCAACCCCCCCCCTTTTTTTGGTTCTCTGGTCAGTGCCTCTTCCAAATCTTGCCCTATTCATGAAATCATCAACTTCAAAAGCACAGGGAACACGCACTAAGGATCTTACTAAATAAATTCTTTACTATTCAAAGTGTGATGGCCAGCAGCATCAATAACACTGAGATGCTAAAAAAACCAGGAGCATCTGAAGGGCCATCCCACTCGAGATTTTAACAAGAGTCACACACACATTAAAGTCTGATGTACTGTGGCTCTCATCTGACACAATAAAATGTTTTCATTCACTGACATACACGATTTTATTTATATATAGCATATACTTATTTTTACGCATAATATAGTTCTGGAGGTACTCTGTATACTACCAGAGGAGAACAGTAAACACCAACCCAGCTACAAACCCTGTGATCTACAATGGTGACCTGCCTGAAACATACGTTGGTGCAAAAGTGCCAAAAGTTGTGGAAGTAACCAATCACTGTTTGATTGGAACTAAGGCCCATATCATAAAACTGAACCCATGCCTGACACTGCCCATGTACCCAAGAGCCTGAGACTTCCTAGGCCTAGGGACATACGGGAAAAGTAAACACTACTGTTCTGCTAAAGAATGTAACGATAAAATGACTCCTAATAGTCTGCTGTACTCATAGATCAGTGCCTTGCTCAACCATCACGAGAGAAGCTTCCTCCTGCAGCAGATGGGAACAAATACAGAGACCCCTAACTGGACAATATTCAGAGAGTGATAGACCTTGGAACACTCAGTCCTAAATGGGATGTCTCCATCAAATCCCTCCCCTCAGGGTCAGGGAACCCTGTGGAAGAGGAGGAAAGAGTATTGGAGTGAGGAGTTGCGGGGCAGGCCTGCTTTTCGTCCTGCCCGGCTCCCGCACGGCTAGCTTAGTCCCAGAAATAACAACACACAAATTGTATTCATTTAAGCACTGCCTGGCTCATTATCTCTAGAGAGTTAGTTACTGACTAACTCTCATATCTTGATATTAACCCATTTCTAATAATCTGTAGCACCACGAGGTGGTGGCTTACCGGAAAAGATTCAGCTTGTCTGACCTGGTGGCTGGCTCCATGGCGTCTGGCTCATAGCCCTCTTCCCAGCATTTTGTTCTGTTTACTCCGCCTACCTAATTTTCTGTCCTATCAAGGGCCCAAGGCAGTCTCTTTATTGACCAATGAAAATAACACAATAGACAGATAACCCTCCTCCATCAGAGTATAAAAGCCAGAGGGGATGAAGGACACCAAAGAAGCAAGGCCTTTTAAACACAGCATAACAGACACAGATGGACTCACAGTAACTGTTGCAGCATGCACAGGGCCTGCACAGGTCTGCACCAGATGGGGCACAACGCTGAGAGAAGTGGACCCAGGTTCCATCCCCAGCACCCATATGGCATCTGACACCCATCTGTAACTCCAGTTCCAAGGGATCATGTGCCCTCTTCTGGCCTCTGTGAGCACCAGGCACGTGTGGTACACAGACATACATGCAGGCAAAACATTAATACACATAAGATAAAAAAAAAAAATTAAAACTAAAACAAATGTTCAACACAACTAAAGACACAAAGAACAACTCCCGGAATTTCCAAAACATACCCAAATGGGGTGGTACCAGTCAGCTGAGAACCACTGTTCTACAATCACAACATTCTTTTCCTTCCCTCTTTCTCACTCCTGTAAAAAAAAGCTTATCTGAGTCATCCATCTATGTCAGTCTTTCATTTCCATCAATTAACTTACATGTATGAGGATCACGAAAGAGTTTCCAAGACCCCGAGTCAATGAACACATTCACAGACTCATGAATTTACCCGACGCGGACACTGCTGGTTGTGTTTCTGCTTTCCACTACACCGCTTCCTCCCTGAAGAACCGCACTGTGGTCATGAAACCATTCCCTTCCCACGTGTTTAAGCAAAGTGATCCTGTTTAACTTAAACTAACCAGAGCCCAACATTCCCCTGGTAGCTGTTATGGGGCTAGGGACAGATACCTGACCCATGTTGGTCCAATCAGACCTGAAGGAAAAACATAATCCAAGCGTGGGAGTTTTATCCTCTCCTCTTCCCCTAGTGAATGACAAAGTATTGTTACCGGCCGTCATCTTGCCACCATAAGGAAAATCGACAATGCCATAGTAAACCCAGGAGAGCCACGTCTTCGATGACAGTGAGCCAACAAATCAATGTGTTCAGTGTCCACCCTTCCTCTGGGTTTAGGGAGCTAATTCTCCTCAGTATTTAACAACTAGACGTTTATTACCCTAATTTTAACCAATAGAAAAAAACCAGGCATGGAGCAGTTAAGTGGCAAGCCCACTATCACATAGCTAGACACTGACAATACCACAGCACTGGAAGGCAGAGACCATGATCTGATTTTGCAGCCCTTATTAATGCCGAACACTACAGCTGCAAGAAACTTTTAAATGGGGAGCACAATTTTGAGGTTGTATTGGCACTATTCTGTGAATATTACGTTTCTTGGAGGACTGATTTTATAGATTTTGGGCTGCTTGTGTGTGTTTTGTTTTGTTTTAGAAAGGGTCTCTTTTTGTAGGTCTGGTTGTCCTGGAAATCGCTATGTAAACCAGATTGGCCTCGAACTCACCTGCCTCCGCCTCCTGAGTGCTGGGATTAAAGGCGTGCGCTGCCTGTGATAATTTTTTTAAATGACAAAATATAAGTGACTTTACGAAAGAATAACTTAATGCTAAAATACAGGTTGTTGAAAGTCTTCACTGTAAATGTCTACCTTACGGTAGGCAGGTGTTCAAAAAAACACCTGTAAGGAAGGGGAAAAGAGTCGACTTCTCCACACTGATGCTCACTAAAGCGTAAGCGACAGCTTCCCCCTCATAGCCTTTCCTTCCTCAGCCAACCCTACGTCTTCGGAGACTGACCCTCCCCCACCCACACGCCAGGTTCTGAAACCTGATCCTGCCAAGCAACCAAAGCCATAAAGGCTGCAGCGTCGGGAACTGGCCTCATCCTACCCACGAACCCAAAAGAGCATTAGCCGGGGAAGTGGGTACTATAGCGGCGTTGTAAATCTTCAAAGGGTTTCATTCGCGAGAGAACTAGTCCAAGGCCAATCCCACCCATCTAGGGTTCCAAGCTTCAGCCTCACAGGTGCTGGTACCAAGCAGTGAATGAATCGCCGGGCCAGGACTTAGGCAGCCCGGAGGTGGGCAAAGCCTCGGGAGGAGCCGAGTCTGATCCACAAAAAAAGGTCCCACGGGAACGTGGGAAGGGCTCCCGGCGTCTGAGAGGGGAAGATGACAACCGTGACCCAGCTCCACTCTCTCACCTTGAACATGTCGCTGGCAGCCGCGGCTCCGGCAGGGTCACCCCTCTCTTGGTCCCGCCCCCTATAGAAAAGCGGCTACGGAGGCCCGGTTAGATCCTGATTCCCTTGACCGCGAGCAGGCTGGGGCGCACGAGATGCTGTTGCTCCCCGCCTCCACTCAACCGTTCAAAAGCGCCAATCAAACACCGCTAGATGGCGCGTTACGTTGCTTAGCAACCGACGTCGCCCGCGCGCGGGAGCCAGACGAACGCAAGCCCCGCCTTCTTGGCGGTTTTACCTCAGAGGGCTGTTGCTAGGCGGCAAAAGGCAGGAGCTCCGTGTAGGCGGCAAGCTGTGGTAAGAGGGCGGCTCCTTGGCACTCCGCAGCGCCGCGAACCTACTTTCGCCTCCACCTCCACCATTGGGCACTAGGCTGTGCCAGATGGCAGCCTGTGAACTGCAGTAGCCAGGCGGTGGCGCCCGACGGACCCGGGAAGGCTGCACCAGCCTCTTAGAGAGAAGCTGCAGATCGACGGTGGGGCTTCGATTTACCTCACTTAAGGTTTTTTCCCTAAAAAAAAAAAAAATGTACCGTATACTGAATGTTCCTTAAATTTTTAGGTTAAACTAAATGCCCCACGTCATTTAATCGCGAAAAAAAATGACCTTTTTTTAAAAAAAAGTACTAAAGTGTAAATCTGATAATCAAATAGTTGTCCCATTTAATACTAGTAGAAGGTAAGTGATGGTATTTAACTATTCGCAAGAAAAGCAAGCATTATTAAGGACGTAATCTTATTCCTCCCACACAAGTCGATAGGCACGGTTCTCATTGCCGAGTGTCCAAGGCTGCGGAAAATCTAAAGCTAGGATCCAGTTCCAGGTAGTCTGCCTTTTAAATCTCTGCGCTAGCCTCAGCAAACGCTAACCCGAACCAGAAAGACGGTGTATTTCGTATTTCGTTCTGCATTTCTGTCCTAATTTGACAGAAGATGGAAGCCACATGGGCATCCTGAAGATTTGGAGATTTGTTCAATGGAAGGTCACTGTCCTCTTATCCAAAGATAGTGCTAGAAACCACCTGCCCTTGAAGAAATTAGGGGTTTTTTTTCTGCGAAAGAAAAAAACCACAAAACAACAACAAAAATGCCCATCTGGGGCAAACTGGAGCATTCCAGTAAGAAAGTGTTAAGTTTGTCGTAATGTTTGAGTTTTGACTTGGTGATATGTGGTTAAGTTTTTTTTTTTAATTTTTTAAAGCAGGACTTGGAAGTGTTAGCAAGCTTCACGGTGGGGAAAGTGCTAAGGCTCGACTGAGTGCCAGAGCAACCCCCAAATGTTAAGGGCAGCTTTTTTCCTTCTCAACAGAATTGTATGTTCCAAGCCACCCCATCTCCGATCCCAAAGGAGAATTACTGACTAGATTCCGAAGGCTCTGCATCAGTAAGGTAATATCTTAGAAGTGCGATCCCAGCGGGAGCTCTTAGTGCCCGGGGTACGTGAACCGGGGAAAGAGGGAGCTGACAGCTTCACCTCCACTAAACTCTGCCTGAACTTCAGCATTTCTTCCAAGTACAGTGGAGGCAACAAGCCTCCAGTATTAGCAGTACCTGTGAGTGTCACCAATAGAAAGCGGAGATATTTTCACACCACCTACAGTCACGGCAGCCAACTAAAAATATCACTTGTCATTAATACAAAAGTACAGTGGTTATTAATTTTTTGTTTTATGCTTAAAAAAGACATATCGTACTGCAATTTCATTTTAAACGGTATTTTGAAGATATAACTAAGATTTTGAGAGCCTCATCCAAACTGGAATGTAATGCTTCAAAACTGTTTTTAAAAAGTTATAGGCACATATAATTTCATACGTGCCTGCTCACATCACCAAAGGGGTACTGAGCCACGGGGAGTGGGGGCGAGGGGAGGATTAAGTAATTTGCGCAAAATCTCAAAATCTCACAAGTAACCAACTAAAAGAGGACTGGGGAGATGGCTCATAAAAACTGGACCAAAAACTCGACAGAAAATGTGTAAAAACCCTCTGCCCGGTTTCCATAGTCAGCAAAGTACCTCCTGCCACTAAGGAATTTGTGAGACTGAATATCCCTGAATTACTGCTCCAAAGGGTTAGCTTCCAGAGTCAGGTGTGGTGGTGAGCGACTGTAAATCCCAGCATGTGGGACATTGGGACCGGAGGATGATCAGTCTAAGGCTATCCTCTGCTGCATAATGAGATCGAGGCCAGCCTCAGCTACAGGAGACCCTGCGTCACAAGAAGAGATGTTCACTTCCACTGTAGGGTGAATAGGAAAAAGCTAGGAGAGAGGGGGCCAATTAGGAGGGCGTGCATAGATTCACTGTCTTTCCCACAACCACATGACAGTTTAATAAAAGAATATAAACTGTAAGCGACACTAGACGCACAATGCTTTCTTTTTAAAGGGATTCTAAAATTAACACAACAATCATATGGCATTTAAGTCTAGTCCAAATGTAATAATGTGGGGATTATGACTTTAATAGCTTAATGTATGTGTGTTCAGATTACTTCTTTGTAGGGAAAATGAAAAAGTCCTCAAACACAGCAGGTACTGGTGCTCCAAACTCAGATAGTCACAAGACACAGTCGGCACGTGCTGCAAAGATAAAGGCAAGAAAAGAGTAAGAAGCCATCTTTTTGCCTTTTGTCGTTTCTCCACAACTAGACAAATTACAAACTTACCTGGGGTGTTTTTTTTTTCTTTTGCTTGTCTGTTTGTTTGTGTGTTTTCTGTGTTGTTTTTTATTTGTTTGTTTACACGACGGGGTTTCTCTGTGTAGCCCTGGCTGTCCTGGAACTCCCGCTATAAATCAGGCTGGCCTCGAACTCACAGAAATCCACCTGCCTCTGCCCGCTGAGGGCTAAGGCTAAAGGTGTGCACCACCACCCCGAGCTAAACTTGCCCGAGTTTACTCAGATAACTTTAAACATTCATTAATGTGTAAATTAAAATTTTGCTGGTTTTAAAAAAATTCGCTTCAAGTTGAATATAGCTTTAGAATTTTATAATTTACAAAGCGTAGTCACATGCCTGCTTGATAATACTGCAGCCTTCTGAAACAGTTTTGTTAGTGCACATGTAAGTAAGTAAAAGAGCACTGGGGAGATGGCTCAGTGATTAGGACCCCTCACATTAGGTGCCTTACAACTACCTGAAATTCCAGTTCCACAGGATCCAATACCTTTGGCCTCTGAGGACCTGCACAATCCCATGCGCTGACACACACATCCATGTAATTAAAATATTTTTAAATCTTCAAAAAAGGGAGAAAAAAACACAACTGGGAAGAAAGTTAAGCCAGTTAATGAATGGCATCAGCTAGAATTCAAAAGGTTTATTTCTGTACTTTTTTTTTTTTTAAGAAGGATGACTGGCCTGGAATTCACAGAGATTTGCTGCCTCTGTTCTCAGGTGCTGGGTGCTTTTCTTTTTTCTTTTTATTTATTTTTTTATTTTTTTGAGACAGGGTTTCTCTGTGAAACAGCCCTGACTGTCCTGGAACTCACTCTGTGAACCAGGCAGGCTTTGAACTCACAGAGATCTGCCTGCCTCTGCTTCCTAAATGCTGGGA